GCTGCGGTAGTGCCTGCAAAACCCTAAACCCTTTTACTAAACCCTAAACCCTTCTACCAAACCCTAAACCCTAAAAAGTGTTTAAAATATCTTCGACAGTTTGTTTGTCTTCTTCGTCGGCAGCATCCGCTCCAGCATCTTTTGCTGCTGCTGCAGCTCTCGCTGCTGCTGCAGCAGCAGCGCGTGCTGCTGCTGATAGTGCTCATGCACCCTATGGCCTTGTGTAGCGGTGCCTTGGTGTCTTCTACAATTCGCAGCAGCAGCTTCCAGCTGCTGCTGCACTTGCTGCTGCTGCTGCTGCAGCTGCAGCAGCTCCCGCCGCATCTGCTGCTCGTCTGCCTTCTTGTACTTCTTGTGCAGCTGCTGCTGCAACTGCAGGTCTTGCTGCTGTTGCTGCTTCTCACGCTCATCAGCAGCAGCAGCAGCAGCAGCAGCAGCAGGCTGCCCAAACCCGCGAATAAGCCGGAAGGCCCCATCTCCCTCCTCTGCAGCAACAGCAGCAGCAGCTGCTGCTGCTGCTTTTGCTGCTGCTGCGCGCTTCACGCGGGGGCACCGAATGTAATCCAAAGAATAACCTGAAGGCAAGATCCTGCAGCAGCAGCAGCAGCAGCAGCAGCAGACACACACACCATATTAAGACTACAGGGGAGGAGAAAGCAGCAGCAGCAACGCAAATGCAGCAGCAACAGAGGCAGCAAGAACAGCAGCAGCAAAGACAGTGCAGCAATGTGATGCGCCTTACTCAATGGGTAACGGATTCAGCAGTACTGCCTGCTGCTCTCCCTGCTGCTGCTGCTGCTGCTGCTGCCTCTGCCTCTTTCCTATACACTCCCCTGCCTTGTAGCCGCTGCGCTGCATTATTCGAAGCCCCACACCGCTGGAGTACAGCATCCACACACCGAAGTACTTGCTGCTGCTGAGGGGGCAGCAGCTCATGCTGCTGCTGCTGCTGCTGCTGCTGCTGTTGTTGCTGCTGTTGCTGCTGTTTGCTGCACGCTCTGTGCTGCGCAAGGGCCGCCACCAGCTGCTCTTCGCGCACCGAGGCAGCCGCCGCAGCATTTCTGCTGCTGCTGCTGCTGCTGTCTTCCCCAACAACTGCTGCAGCCGCTGCACCTTTTGCTGCTGCTGCTGCTGCTCTGCCTCCGATATCTCCCCGTCGCTCACTTCCATCTCAACAGCAACATCTGACTCGCTGCTGCTGCTGCTGCTGCTGTTGCTGCTGTTGCTGCTGTTGCTGCGGATGCGAAGCGATTTATGACGCGGTGCCTCAGCAGAAGCGTCTGCCTGCTGCTGCTGCTGTTGTTGCTGCTGCTGCTGCAAAGCAGGCAGCAAGTGCTGCGCCCTACAGAGGTATATTCTCCCTCTAGTGTCAGCGGTGTTGCTGCTGCTGTTGCTGCTGCTGTTGCTGCTGCTGTTGCTGCTGCTGTTGCTGCTATCCAATTGCACGCGAGCAAACCACGTATACTGCTGCTGCTGCTGCGTTTGCTGCTGCTGCTGCTGCTTCCGCGCAGCAGCCCCAGAGAGAGGCAAGACTGCTGCAGCGAGAGCAGCAGCATCATCATCATCTGCTGCTGCTCTCGCTGCATGCTTCCTCTTGCGCAGCAGCAGCCGCAGGGTGCCTTGCTGCCACTGCTGCTTCCGCACCCGTACAAGGACTTGGCTTCCGCGCACTAGCGCACCTTGCTGCTGCTGCTGCTCCTGCTGCAGTTGCGGTTGCTGCTGCTGCTGCTGCAGTTGCTGCTGCAGCTCGATGCTTCTTCGGGGTGAGAACCGCACAAGAGTAACAGCAGCAGCAGGCAGCAGCAAGCCGTGAGCCCAGCGGCACTGCGATCCGTATGTACAAGCAGCAGCAAGCTGCTGCAGCGACATAACGCCACCACCACCTGCTGCTGCTGCCGCTGCTGCTGCTGCTAAGCCATCGGCTTCCAGGTGCAGCCCCGCTGCAGCTGCCGCTTCGCGTCGAGCCATACACTCAACGTGCTGCTCCGGCTGCTGCTGCTGCTGCTGCTGTGCAGCAGCTTCTGCTGCAGCTTGAAACGCAGCAGCAGCAGCAGCAGTTGCACCTGCAATGTGGCAGCACGGCGCCTCGCAAATCTCCATTGGGCAGGCCGGCACCACCAGCAACAGAGGCTCCTGCTGCTGCTCTTGCTGCTGCTGCTGCTCTTGCTGCTGCTGCTGTTGCTGCTGCTGCTGGATCAGCAACGCTGTGCGGAGTTCGCAGCCCCCCGATGGTAATGCGTCACACAGAGCAGCGAAATCACTGTCGCTGCTGCTGCTGCTGCTGCTGCTGTTGCTGCTGCTGCCCAGCAGCAGCCGCTGCAGCAGCGGGGTGCTGCGTACCACTGCTCGAACTCTGCCGTACTGCAGCCCCGCCTCATCGCTTCTCTGCAGCGGGGTAAAGACGCAGAGGCTGCCTTCTTGCCTGCTTCTGCTGCTGCTGCTGTTGCTGCTGCTGCTGCTGCTGCTTGAGCCCCAGTCAGAGGCGCCGCTGCTTAAACTGCCGTCGGAGACGCTCATAGCCGAGTCGCTGCTGCTGCCTTCAGCGTCATCTTGCTGCTGTTGCTGCTGCTGCTGCTCGTGCTGCTGCTGCTGCTGTTGCTGCTGCTCTTCCTGCTGCATCTGCAGCAGCTGTTTCTGCACTTGCAGCCGGCGCGATTCAAGCAGCGAAGTCTTCATGAGCTCCAGTGCTGCTGCTGTGTCTGCTGCTGCGGCTGCTGTTGCTGCTGCAGCTTCCGCCACCTCGCTCCTCTCTGCCTCTCCGTCGCATTGCTGCAGCAGCTCCTGCAGCGTCTTCTGCTGCTGCTGCAGCTCTGCGAGCTGCTGCTCAGCAGCTGCTATGTCTTGCTGAAGCTGCTGCTGCTGCTGCTGTTGCTCCGCATCCCCATCGCTCCACGTGGCTGCATTCGGAGCAGCAGCAGCAGCAGATGCTGCTTCTGCTGCTGCTGTTACTGCTGCTGCTCCTTTATCCATGGCTGCGGTCTATGTCTCTCACTCATAAGGCCCTTTCCGTTGAGGCTTGCTGCAGCAGCAGGCGCTGCTGCTGCTGCTGCTGCTGCTGCAACAGCCAGATCTGCTGCAGTGACTCATTGAAAGACAAAGCCGATTGCTGCAGTGAGACACCTGAACAATACCATCACCTGCTGCTGCTGCTGCCGCAGTAGCTGCTGCTGCTGCTGCAGCTGCTGCAGCTGCTGCAGCAACAAAGGCGCTCAAACTCTATAAAGACAAGAAAACCGCAAGAGAGTCTCTTGAGTTTGTCTTTCAGCTATAACTTCCCTCTTAATAACAGTTTGTCTAGCAGCAAGTTATCTTTGCTGCAGCTGCTGCAGCTGCATGCATGCTGCTGCTGCAGCGGTCTCTGCTGCAGCAGCAGCAGAGGCCCCAGCAGCAGCAGCAGCAGCAGCAGCAGGTGGCAGCGCAGCGGCAGACCCCACGCAGCTGCTGCTGCTGCCTGCTGCAGCAACAGCAGTTAGGCAGCAGCAGAGCAGCAGCAGCAGCCAGCAATTGCTTGCAATATGAATATGATTTAAATTATAATATGATTATGTTTAATTGTTTCTAAAAACAAAAGGGCGACAACTACGGGTAGCTGCTGCAACCAGGTGTTGCTGCTGTTGCTGCTGCTGCAGGCACCGCGGCGGCGTCTGTAGGAGGTGCAGCAGCAGCAGCAGCAGCGGCAGCAGCAGCAGCAGCAGCGGTAGCAGCAGCAACTCGGACGCTCGGGGATTATTAGAGAGCTCCAAGCGGCCTCTTTTACTGTCTTTTTGTGTAGCACCAGCACTGTTTTTGCTGCTGCTCCCGCTCCGCAGCAGCAACAGCAGCAGCAGCAACAGCAGCAGCAGCAGCAGCAGCAACGGACGAAGCAGCAGTCGTCCTTGTCGCGGCGAAGAACGTTTTTACGTCTGCATCAGACTTTATTTGGAATAAGAGGGATTGATTCTTTGCTAGCAGGAGGCCTCCTGACGCTCAGCAGCAGCAGCAGCGGCAGCAGCAGCAGCAGCAGCAGCAGCAGCAGTAGGCCCAGAACCCCTCACAGCAGCAGGAGCAGCAGCAGGATAGACTTCTGCGGCTTCTGTTTCTGCTTATTAGAACATCCTTGTTGTTAGACAGGCACCGGAAGCCACAGAAGCAAGCTAGAAGCAGCAGCAGCAACAGCAGCAGCAGCAGCAACAGCAGCAGCAGCAACAGCAACAGCAGCAACAGCAACGATGCCAAGCCGCAGCAGGAGCCGCAGCCGAAGTCGTGGGAGAGACTCACGCGTGTCCGAAGCGCCTTCCTCTGAGGCCCGCACATCCGAGGCACGAGAAGAGGTATTGCTGCTGCTGCTGTTGCTGTTGCTGCTGCTGTTGTTATTGTTGCTGTTCACGCTCTTATGGATTCACATTGACATCTTTGGGGTTAGAAAACGAGGTTATTTAGCGTGGAGTAGAGCTCTCATCCTGCTTGGTTTGCTCTGCAGTTAGGGCTTGGGGTTTAGGGTTTAGGGTTTAGGGTTTAGGGTTTGTGCGCAGCGGAGACGCAAGCGACGGACGGGTTGGGATGTGGGGGGAGGCGGCGAAGCAGCAAACCCTGCAGATCCAGCAGCTGCTGCAGCAATTGCTGCTGCTGCTGCTTCTCGGATCAACTCGGGTGAGGATGCCTCTGCTGCTTTGCTGCTGCCTCTGCTGCTGCTACTGGTTCTGATGTTGCTGCAGCTGCTATTTAGGGTTTGGGCTTTAGGGTTTAGGGTTTAGGGTTTAGGGTTTAGGGTTTGTGCTGCAGGCACCATGTTTACCCCAGCCCTGGGGGCGGCAGGCATTGGTCTCGCTGGGCGATCTCCTCAGGCTCCCCATCCCTCAGTAAGCAACAGCAGCAGCAGCAACAGCAGCAGCAGCAGCAACAGCAGCAGCAAGAAAAGCATTGGTTCTTGAATAACAAGTAGACAGCTAAACAAACTTGCGTATTTACTTACTGCCTTATTTATTCTTCATTAGTTAATTACTTTATCTACTTAAATATATTTTATTTATTTAAATATATTTTATTTATTTTAATTAATTAATTAATTTATTTATTTATTTATTTATTTATTTATTTTCAGATGTGCCGCATTTACGTGGGGTCGTTGGATTATTATTTGACGGAGTTGGAAATCAAATCTGTCTTCCAGGTAAACAAATAAAATAAATAAATAAATATAAATAAATATAAATAAATATAAATAAATATAAATAAATAAATAATAAATAAATAATAAATAATAAATATGAGAATAACGATGTGTCTATGCATGTGTTTATGTTTGTTTATCTGTTGTTTGTTTTTTTGTTTTGTCTGTCTTTGCTTTTTCTTCATTTTGTTTTTGTGTATTTGTTTGTTGTTGGTTGGTCTATCTTTATGAGCTTTTGTTTATTTGTTTGTTTGCTGTTGCTTTTATTGTTTTAATTTGTCTTCGTCTATATCTCTTCGTTTTGTTCATCTGTCTTGCTGCTGCTGCATTTCCTGTTGTTGCTGCCATTGTTTTTGCTGCTGCATTTGTTGCTGTTGCTACTTTTGCTTCTGCCTGTCCTGTTGCTTCATTTTCCTCTGCATTTGCTGCATTTGCGGCTGCTGTTGCTGCTGCTGCTGCTGCTGCTGCTGCAGGCATTTGGTACTGTTACTTCAGTAGACATGCCTAAGGAGGGGGATCGCTCGAAAGGTTTTTGCTTCGTAGAATATGCGTCGCCGGAAGCAGCACAGATGGCTTTGAGCACGATGCATAACTTCGTCTTAAAGGGCAGGCAAGCAACGCCGATATCTTGCGGCTGCTGCTGCTGCTCCAGCAGCAGCAGCAGCAGCAACTGCTGATGCGGATGGTTTCATGCGGACGCACCGGAGGCAGCAGCAGCTTTTGCTGCTCGTAGAGGAAACAGATATGGCGGAGCAGAGACTCCCTAGCGCGAGGTCTCTGTTAGCAGCAGCAGCAGCAGCAGCAGCAGCGTGTGTGAAGGGTGGGAGTTGTGTGTTCATGCTGCTTGGTTGTTTGCTGGTGTTCCTTTTGTATCGAGTCTGCTGTCTCTGTTGTGGTGTGGGGTCTTGCTGTCTCTTTCTGTGTCTGTGCTGCTGCTCTGCTGCTGCTGCTGCTGCTGCTGCTGCGTGCAGACGTGAGTAGAGCAGCAGCCCCGCAGGCAGCAGCAAGCCGGGCGGCTGGCTGCAACAAGGCGATTGTGCTGCTTCAGGCATTTGTTGTGTTGCTGTGTTTGTGATATCTCGTGCTGTCTTTTGTTGCTGCTGCGCTCTGTCTCTTTGCTGCTGCTGCTGCAGCAAAGTCAGCAGCAGCAGCAGCAGCTGCTGCTGCGGACTTCTGTGTGTGGTTTGCTGTCTCTCACGGCGTTTTCACAGTCTCCCTGCTGCAGCGGTTGCTGAGTTCGATATTCCGTTGCATGGTCTCTCCTTGCTGCTGTTTTCAGTCTTCTCGTTGCAGCAGCACCAGCAGCTGTTGCAGCAGCAGCAGCTGCTGCTGCTGCAGCAGCAGGGGTTCTGGTTGCTGATTTTTTTCATTGGTGTTTTCGGTCTTTGTTTGTCTGTCTGTTGCACTGATGTTGATGGTTTGTCTTCTCTGTCTCTTGCTTTATGCATGAGCTTGCTTCTGCTGCTGCTGCAGCTGGCTGTACATGTGCTGGTGCTTTGTTTGTTTATATTTATCTTCGTTGTTTGTTTGCTAACGGCGAGAGGCTGCTTCTCTTTGTTGCTGTTCTCTCGTTGCTTTGCTTGCTGCTGGTTTTCTTGTGTTGAGCGGTGTTGTGAGAATTACATAGCTGCTGCCTCTAGTGCTGCCTTGCTGCAGCTTCTGTGTTGCTGCTGCTGCAGCTGCCGTGTCTGTCATTGGGGTGTTTGGTGGTGATTGCAGTTTTTCCTCCGGCTTGCGGTTTAGGGTTTAGGGTTTAGGGTTTAGGGTTTAGAGCGTGTATAAGCTGAGAGGGATGTTCTTTTTGCTGGCAAGAATAAGCGTAGAGCAGCAAAAACAGCAGCAGCAGCAAAAATAGCAGCAGCAGCGTCTTCGCTGCATTGCATGCGTTGTATGATTTTCTTCGCTTCTTGTGTTTAGTTTGTTCCTTATGAAATAAATGCATTTAATTTAATTTAATTTTTTATTGCTTTTCTGGTGTATCTGCAGAACCATCAAGGTTGGGCGCCCCACAGCTGTTGGCGCCGGGCAGCCTCAGCAGCTCCTCGCAAGGCCTCGTAAGCATGCTTGCTGCTGCTGCTGCTAGTGCTGCTGCTGCTGCTCGTTGTGTTGATTCTGCTGCTAGAGCTGCTGGTGCTGCTGCTGCTGCTAGTGCTGCTGTTTCAGCTGTGTCTCGGCTTTTGTCTGTAATTTGTGTGGATGGACTGTCATGTGCTTCTGCTGCTGCTTTTGCTGCTGCTGCTGCTGCAGTTGGTGGTTACGACATGAACGTCGGCGCTGCTGCCAGTGAGTGCTGCCTCCTTTAGAACAGCAGCAGTAGTAGCAGCACAAGAAGCAGCAGCAACAACGGCAGCGCAAGCAGCAGCAGAGGCAACACGAACAGCAATAACAGCAGCAGCAGCAGCATGAGGTATTTGTGTTGTGTGTTTTGTTTGTCTGCAGCGCCGGGGATGTCTTTGGTTAGCAGCGCCCAAGCTGGTGCTGCAGCAGCAACAGCAATTCTCGCAGGAAGAGCTGGACAGACACCGCAAGGCGACATGGGTAGGCAAGCAGCAGCAGCAGCAACATCAGCATCAGCATCAATACCAGCAACAGCAGTAGCAACAACAGCAGGTTGCACTTTAGCAGGAAGGAGTGCAGCATTTGCTGCATGTTGGTTGTTGCTGCTGCTGCTGCTGTTTGTGCTGCAGCAAGTCTGGTGTCTATGGGGCAGGTGACGCCGGAGAAGCAGCAAGACTCAGCACCAGGCAGCAACAGAATTTACGTCGGCAATGTCCCCTTCGGATTCTCCTCTGAGGACCTCAAGGTCTGCTGCTGCTGCTGCTGCTGTGGTTTCTGCTGCTGCTGCTGCTGCTGGTAGTTGTTTAGGAAGGGGTTTTGATTGTGGTTTTGTTTGTTTGCTGCTTTTAAATGATCGGTGGATGTGTTTAGTGTTTGTTTGTTTATTTGTCGCTCTGTTTGTTTGTTTTTGTCTGTCTCTTTCTTTATCTGCCTCTGTCTTTACTTTGAGCTGTTTGTTTGTTTGCTACCCCATGGCTGCTGCATTTGCATTTGCTGCTGTTGCTGCTGCATCTCCATTTGCTGCTGTTGCTGCAGCGTCATGCATATGCTGCTGTTGCGTTTGCATGTGTTGCTGCTGTTGCTGCTGCAGAAGATATTTGTTTGCTTCGGCTCTATACTAACCTGCCAGCTGCTGCCTTCACAAGAAAACCCTCAGCAGCACAGAGGCTACGGGTTTATTGAGTTTGCTTCGCCTGCAGCAGCAAAACTTGCAATCGATACCATGAACGGATTCGAAGTCGTCGGTACGTATTAGGGTTAAGGGTTTAGGGTTTAGGGTTTAGGGTTTGGGGGAAGGCGAGGCAGAAGCAGGAGACCGGGTTGGGAGCGGCTCCGATGCGACACTGCAGCATCACCGTCCTTCTTCTGGGGTTTAGGGTTTAGGGTTTTAGGGTTTAGGGTTTAGGGTTTGTTGTTGTGATCAGGGAAGCAGCTGAAGGTGAACTATGCAACAGCACTTAGAAGTGCTGCTGTTGCTGGCAGCCTGGGGGTTGGTATGGGGGCACAGATGGCTCCGATCGTAGCAGCAAACGCAGCAGCAGCAGCAGCAGCTGCTGCTGCTGCTGACGGTGCTGCTGCTGCACTGCAAGGCGCTACGGGAGCGAACAAAACCCCATTGGGAGTTCAGCAGCCACAGGCTACTGCAGCTGCACAGCAGCAGGAACAGCAGCAGCAGCAGCAGCAGCAAGAAGGAGGAGGTGATGCCGCTGCTGCTGCTGCTGCTGCACCCGCAGGAGCAGCAGCACCTGCAGCAGCAGCAGCATCACCTGCTCCGCCTTGCCCGGAAAAGCCAAGCGGAGAACCAGGCAGCAGCAGCGTGCTGCTGCTAACAAACACAGTTGCTGCTGAAGAGGTTGATGATGATTTGAAAGAAGAAGTAAGCAACGCCTCATTCTGCTGCTGCTGCTGCTGCTTCTGCGTACAGTAGGCAGTTCGTGTGTTATTTATTGCTTTTCTCATTTTCCCTGCTGTTTCTACATATATATATGTATATATATATATATATCATTTTGTATTTATATATAATTTATATACATTTAGAGAGAGAGAAACAAACATCCATATATATGTGCATACTATGTATGCAGTGTATATATGTATATGTATATATACATATATATATATATATATATATATATATATGTGTGTGTGACGAGCAGATGCGAGAAGAGTGTCGTCGATTTGGGGAGGTGTTGGCTGTCCGCGTTGAAATAATAAACAACGACGTTCGAATATTTGTACAGTTCAGCAACACAGCAGCAGCAGCAGCAGCAGCACCTCAGCTGCACGGGAGATGGTTTGGAGGCAGACAGATTCACGTCTTCTATTATGATGAAAAAGCTTATGAAGCAGGAGACTTCTCTAAATAAAGGACATCACACCAGCAGCAACAGCAACAGCTGCAGCAGCTGCAGCAGCAGCAGAAGCAATAGTAACAGCAACCGCAATAGCAGCAGCTGCTGCAGCAACTACAGCTACACCCAATTTGTCGCTTCCGGAGGAGACAAATTATTGCTCCGTTAGTCTTCCGCTGCTAGGCGCCTGTCGCAGCGGTCGGCTGCTGCTGCGCTTGCTGCTGCTGCTGCAGTTGAGCAGCAGCAGGGGCAGCAGCAGCTGCTGCTGCTGCAGCACAGGAAAAGATTCAACATCAATTGTTCGCCTGCGCTTGCAGCGGCCGCCGTTGCGACACAGAAGGGACGTTCTTGCAATGAAGGGTTTAGGGTTTAGGGTTTAGGGTTTAGGGTTTAGGGGCGCGAGGAAGAGGCAGCTGCAGAAGCGGCAATAACAGCAGCAGCAACTGCTGCTGCTGCTGCTGAGCAGCACCTGCTGCTGTCTCTTCACCGTTGGTTTGTTTAAAACCCTCTCATCGTCTCGTCTTGTGGCTAAAGGTTTTGTTTAGCCTTTATTAGGGTTCAGGATTTAGGGTTTAGGGCTTAGGGTTTAGGGCAGCAGAACAGAGAAGACACCGGAATGAGACAGCGAGGAAAGAGCAGCAAACGACAAATATATATCACCATCTGCAGCAGCACTGTAAGAGTAGATAAGAGTTTATAAACATTATTATTACTTAGAAGCGTCCGAAATTAATTAAATATAAACCAGTGTAAGATGGATATAACAGAAGCATGCATTATATATATATAATTTATATTTGTAGACGCGGCTCGGACATTTCTATTGTTGAGGTGTATGGACATAAGAAGGGAGAGAGAATTAAAATATGAAAGACTCAGGGTCGTGTGGCCTCCTGCTGCGGCTGTGCCGAAGAAGTAGCAGCAGCAACACCAGCAGCAGCAGCAGCAACACCAGCAGCACCAGCAGCAACACCAGTAGCAGCAACAGCACCAGGAGGGGCAGCTTGCTCTCATTAGCTGTTTCTGCTGCTCCTCACACCGCACAACTGTCACTAGCCACCTTCACTAACACATAGTCTCGGGTTTAGGGTTTAGGGTCACTTGGGGTGTACTTGTTTTAGAGGGCTCTACGTGCGTTGTTTGTATATGAGATGAAATATACCGAAAAACAAAAATATACTTAAACAAAATATGAAAATAATTAAAAAGAAATCAAATATTTCCTGTTATTTTGCTGCTCGCAGCTTCTGCCGGTCTTAGCCGAGCAGCTGCTGCGGCTGCAGCAGCTGCTGTTGCTGCTGCTGCAGCAGCTGCTGCTGCAACGACATCATTGTGTGTTTGTTTTTTGCTTATTCTGTTTTAATTTGCTGATTTCTGTTTTATTTCTTCTGCTTTCTGTTGACTGCCCTAAGTCTGCTGCTGCAGCTACTTGCCGCTGCATCAGGTGTATGTACACAGAGATGCATACATTCGTAACGCATCTTTAATTATAAAAGACCCTATACACTGCAGCGCTTAGCAATATACAGCACAGCTGCTGCCAGTCTTGTAGATAGACCTTCTGCTGCTCTTGCTGCTGCCTAGATGCTGGTCTTGTGTTTGCTGTTGGTGCTGCTAGAGTAGTGGCTGGAGTGATAGTTTGCTGCTGCCGCTGCTGCAGCAGCAGTTGCTGCTGCTGCTGCTGCTGCTGCGATGCGGCTGGTTCCTTTGTTTGTGTACGGCTCGGATGAGCCAGACCCGAGCACATTGAAGCGGCCTGCGGCTGCAGCGCAGAAGGGCACAGGAGCAGCAGCAGCAGCAGCAGCAACAGCAACAGGTGTTGCCGAGCCTCGAGGCAGCTACAGCATTGTCTCTCTCCGCATTGCGCCATGCAGGGCGGTGGCAGCCTGCGGCTGCAGCGACGGTTTGCTGCGGCTTGCAGCAGTTCCTAATGCTTCAGGGTTGCATCCAGGGGCCCCCCCAGGTGCTGCTGCTGCTGCTGCTGCTGCTGCTGAAGGTGCAACGGGGCTGTCGGGGTGGGTAGGGAGAAGGAAGCTGTGTGGAGATGCACAGCTGTCTCCAATTACTTGTGTTGCTTGGTCTCCAGTCTCTGCTGCTCCGCCTCTCTATTCTGACGAAGGGGCCCCCTTAGGTTATTCGCTGCTGCTGCTGGCAACCACAGGAGCAGGTCAAATCGTGCAGTGTCTTGTGACCGCAACTCCTGCTGCTGCTGCTGCTGCTGCTGGTCCCGCTGCTGCTACTGCTGCTGCTGCTGCTGCTGAGCAAGAAGCAGCAAACGAGGAGCAGGGGGTCTCTCCACATGCAGCAAACGCTTCGCGGGGGATCGTCCCCTTCTTTGTAGATGAGGCGATCCCCGTCCGGCCTCCGCGAGGTGCAGCAGCAGCAGCAGCAGGGGCAGGGGCAGAAGCAGCTGCAGCAGCAGGAGCCAGTGCTGCTGCTGCTGCTGCTAGGCCGCTGCTGCAGTATAGCATCTCAGAGGTCTGGCGAGACGCCATACCCCAAGAGCAGCTGCTCTGCTGCGCCTTCAGCAGCAGCGGTGATGCATTTGCTGCAGCAGGTAGAGGAAGAAAGATTTATGTTTATTCTGCTGCGACGAAGCAGCAGGTCTGCTGCCTAAGTAGAGCAGCACCAGAGAACCCTTTGCTTTGCCTAACCCTACCTCCTGCTGCTGCTGTTGCTGCTGCTGCGCCTGCTGCTGCACCAGCAGCACCACCACCACCAGCTCCAGGAAACGCCACACCCGCAGCAACATACACAAACGCACGCGGACAACAGCAGCAGCAGCAACAGCAGGAATACGCTGCTGCTCCGGGACCTGCTGCTGCTGCACCTACTGCGGGGAGCAGCAGAGCAGCAGCAATTGAACGCAGCGGAGGCCCCCAACGGGCAGCAGCAGCAGCAGCAAGCAGAGGAGGCGACGCCCGCTTGCCTGGGGGTGCTGCTGGTGCTTCTACTCGTGCTGCTGCTGCTGCTGCATCAGGCCGTGCAGCAGCAACAGCAGCAACGGGAGCCCCACAGACGACACAAGGTGGAGCTGCTGGTGCAGCAGCAAGTGCGGCACAAGCTGCATCAGCTCCAGCAGCAGCAGCAGCAGCAGCAGCACACAGCAGCGGACCTGCTGTGCAGCGTTCGCCTGCTGCAGCAACAAAACATCCAATGGGCCTCAGTGTGGGGTCCTCAGAGCACCACGCGCACGGCAACCGCATCGTGCAGGTCCTGCTGCTGCTGCTGCTGCTGCTGCTGCTTGTGCTGTTGCTGCTGCTCTTCGTGTCGCTGTTGTTGCTGCTGCTGCTGGTTTTCCTGTTGCTGATGGTGCTACTGCTACGTGCAGCGAAGACAGCAGCAACACAACGCAAGCTTTAATGCTTGCTACTGCTGCTGCTGCTACTGCTGCTGCTGCTGCTGTTGTTGTTTCGTGGGTTATACGCATCGCTATTGAGGTCTGTGCACCTGAGGTGTAGTTGTAGTGGTGGGTGCTGCATGCAGGTGCTGTTCTTACCCCCTTCTGAAGAGCAGCAGCAGAGGAGCAGCAAAAAGCAGCAGGTACCCAAGCTGAGCAGCAAATACCGCATCGTCTCGTGTGGGGTTGACTCCACCATACAGGTCTAGCTGCTGCTGTTGCTGCTGCTGTTGCTGCTGCTGTTGCTGTGGTTGCTGTTGCTGCTGCTTCTGCTGTTGCTGCTACTGCTGCTGCTGTTTCTTCTACTGATGCTGCTGTTGTTACTACTACTACTACTGCTGCTGCTGCTGCTGCTCTTGTGCCGAGGTGCGCTGCTGCCGGTGTCTCGCTGGGGTGTCTCTGCAGCTGTGGAAGACAGAAAAACAAATGGCAGTCGGAGGCACGGCGGAGTGCTCCCCTCTAGGGTCAGCACGAATTGCTGCTGCTGCTGCTGCTGCTGCTGCTGCTGCTGCTACTGTTGCTACGGCTGTTGCAGTTATTGCTGCTGCTGCTGATGATGGTGATACTGCTGATGTTGCTGCTGCACTTCTTACTGCTGCTGCGAATGCTCTTCCTTCGATGCTTCAAATGATGCTGTTGAAATAGGTGGTGGTGCCGCACTTGCTGTTGTTGCTGCCCTGGTTGCTGCTGCTGTTGCTGCTGCTGCCGCAGTTTCTGCTGCTGTTGTGTTGCTGCTGCTAATTAAGTTATTCGCCCATCAGCCTCTGCTTCAGCGTACAGCCTTGATTGGGTTATCTTTGCTGTCCCTGCTGCTGCTGGTGCAACTCTTGTTGCTGCTCCTGCTGCTGCTTTCGCTGCTGCTGCTGCTGCTGCAGGGAGTCCGTGGCTGTGCTGTCTCCATCAACTGCTTTGGTTGCATCTCACCGAGATGAAAGACAGCTGATGCTCTTGAGGCTCCCTGACTTTGAAGTTCTTCAGGTCAGCGCTCTCCAGGGTTTAGGGTTTAGGGTTTAGGGGTCAGGTCAGCACCCGCTAGGGTTTAGGGTTTAGTTAGGGTTTAGGGCTTAAGGTTTGGGTTTAGGATTGAGGCCACCATTCACCAGGGTTTAGGGTTTAGGGCTTAGTGCATAGGGCTTAGGGTTTAGGTCAGCACTCGCCAGGGTTTAGGGTTTAGGGTTTGGGGTTTAGAGTTTAGAGGTGGCTGACAGCTGCGCATCTTCACGTGCGCAGAGCGGCCTTTGCTTCTGCTGCGGACCAAAGCAACAGCAGCAGCAACAGCAGCAGCAACAGCAGCAGCAACTGCAGCAGCAACAGCAGCAGCAACAGCAGCAGCAACAGCAGTAGCACCTTGCGGATCGCAGTAGCAACGAGTATGCGAAATGTGCCTTCGTTAATGTCTAAGGGCAACGGCAGCAGCAGCTGCAGCAGCAGCAGCACAATAAACGAAGAGGAGCAGCAGCAGTATCAGGAGGATAGCAAGGAGCAGCAGCAGCAGCAGCCGGAGCAGCAGCAGGTGCGTACGCTGTTCTGTTTGCTGCAGGTGTTTGATATAAACACCGCCTGCTGCTGCGGCCCCCCAGCCACGCAGGAGTCATTTCGTGCTGCAGCACCTCTACCCAGTGGCGAGACTGACAGCAGCAGCAGCAACAGCAGCAGCAGCAGCAACAGCAGCAGCATTGTGGGGAAGGCACTGATTGATGAAGGAAGCTACACAACACAGTTTTATTGCTGCCGCGTTTGTTTGCTGCCTGAGGGGGCAATTGCTGCTTGCTGCGGAGGCAATCGCCATCAACTTAGGTTTGTTTATTTATTTATTTGTTTGCTTGTTTATTTATTTATTTATTTATTTATTTATTTATTTGTTTGTTTGTTTGTTTCTTTATTTATTTTCTTGCTTTTTATCTGCCCCTCCTTGTCTCTCTGTCTCCTTTTATTTTTCTGTCTTTTAGAGGCATAAAGACATAAAAACAAACAAATATAAAGACATAAAGACATAAAGACATAAAGACATAAAGACACAAAGACATAAAGACACAAAGACACAAAGACATAGAGGCATAAAGATATAAAGACATAAAGACATAAAGACATAGAGGCATAGAGGCATAAAAACATAGAGACATAAAGACATAAAGATATAGAGGCATAGAGGCATAAAAACATAGAGACATAAAGACATAAAGATATAGAGATATAAAGACATAAAGAAATAAAAGCATTACGACATAAAGACATAAAAACACAAATACATTAAAATGCATAAACATAATAAGACAAAAAGAGAGAGAAGAGCATGAAGACACAGAAGAGTAAAAAGGAGAGCAATAAACACTGACAGCGCCAAGACACAGCAAACAAAAACCAAAGACAAAGACAAATAGATAAAGATAAAATAAAAGACACATAAAGACAAAGACAGACAAATAAAGAGACAAAATAAAAGATGCACAAAGACAAAGACGAAAAACAAATATGATATACAGATATACATGAAAGTGCATCTCTATAGTCGTATACACCCTGCGGTGTCTGCTCAACTAATTATCGCTGTCCTTTTGTCTCCTATTTAACGCCTGTTCATTTGCTTGCGTCTGTCCCCTTAGTCTGCTAGTGGTTTTCTAGCAACGCGCTGCTGTTTCTGCCGCCGTTACTGCTGCTGCTGCTGCAGCTTCTGCTGCTGCATTGGCTGCTGCTGCTGATGCCGCTAGATATCCTGCTGCTGTTCCCGGTGTCTCTGCCACGGTTACTGCTGGTGATGTTGTTTTCTTGCTGCTCCTGCTGCTAATGCCGCTGCTGCTGCTGTTGCTGCTACTGCATTTGCTGCTGCTGCTGTTGCTGTTGCTGCAGGACGTACTTCTTGCCGGCTGGCCTTGAGAGCGCAGGTGCAGGTGGCGGAGGCAGTGTGACCAGCAGCAGCAGCAGCAGCAGCAGCAGCAGCAGCAGCAGCAGTAGCAGCAGCAGCAGCAGCTGTCCCTGCAGCAAGAACGCCTTCCATCTGTTTGGGCTGGCTTCAGCGGAGTACCCGCCTTTGACTTTAGATGTTTGCTGCGCTGCTGCTGCTCCCCCGCAGCGGAAGCAGCAGCAGCAAAAGAGCCTCAACACCCCGCCGCCAGCTGCAGCAGCAGACGAGCTCCTTACCAAGCACAGCATCATTAGCTCCTTCGTTGTCAGGGCCCCCAAGCAGCAGCAGCAGCAACAGCAACAGCAGCAGCAGCAGCAGCAAGAAGAAGAAGAGAAAGAAGAAACGCAAGCTGTCATTTCGGGAGTGCTACTGGCTGCAATCCAGGGACAGGTAGGGTGGACGTTGCGACAGCAGCAGTAGCAGCAGCAGCAGCGCCAGCTCCTGCTGCTGCTGCTGGGAGAGCTGCTGCTGTTCCTGTTGCCGTTGCTGTTGCTGCAGCAGCAGCAGCGAATAAGGCAAGGCAGCTACGGACACTGTTGGAAGGAAAAACAGAGGGGCGTGCAAACCCCAGACACGGATGCTACTCTAGAACACTGACATAGCTGCTGCTGCTGCTGTTGCTGCTGCTGCAGATTGCAGTGTACGGCATTGCTGCGGGCCCGTCTGACTTGAGCCCGGAGTTCGCGCGACTGCGGCAGCAACTGCTGCAGCGGCGAAACGAAGAGAATTTAGATGCAGCAGCAGCAGCAAGAGTGCTACAGGCGCATGCAGCAGCTGCAGCAACAGCAGATCCTGCAGCAGCAACAACAGACAGTAAGGGCGCAGCAGGGCACGACAGAGACGAAGATGAAAAGGTTTGTCTCCCGCCACTGTCTCCATTGTGCCTCCCCTGAGTAGAGCATGCGCTGCATACTAACAGCAAATGCTGCTGCTGCAGTTACTGCTGCTGCTGCTGCTGCTGCGATATGCTGCAGCAGGAAGACGACAAAGGGCTACCTACTGCCCTTCAGGGTCTCAGTGGGGTTTGCTGATCGCTTGGCGTTCTCTCCGTCTCTTCTCTGGATGCACAATCTGTCTCCTTCGGCTGCAGCCAACGAGGCACTGTGCTGCGCAGCAGCAGCAACTGTAGCAGCAGCAAATGCAGCAGCAACTGCAGCAGCAGCAAATGCAACAGCAACTGTAGCAGCAGCAAATGCAGCAGCAACTGCAAAGCCAGCAGCAGCAGCAGCAGCAAAGCCAGCAGCAGCTGCAGCAGCAAATCCACCAGCAAATGCTGTAGCAAATGCTGCAGCAAATGCTGCAGCAGCAAAAGCGCGTCACATGAGAGACCTGAGTTTCTTTTTTATATTCGCCGCCCAACTTTACGCTCCTTAGCGAACAGGGGCCTCTTCTCTCTGTCTCCTTTTTGTCTCTGTCTCTGTTTGCCACCCTCGTTTCTGTCTCTATGTCTATTTGTCTCTTCTTTTTGTCTCTCTCTCTGTTTGTTTCTTCTTCCTGTCTCTGCCTCCGTTTGCCTCTTGTTGCTGTCTTCTTTCTGTCTCTGTCTCTGTCTCTCCCTCTGTTGCTGTTTCTGTCTGTCTCTCTCTCTCTCTCTCTCTCTCTCTCTCTCTCTCTCTCTCTCTCTCTCTCTCTCTCTC